GACAGGTTCCATATAAATAATGTAAATAAAGTTGTAATCAGGGTCAAACCTGCCGCTCCGCGCTGCAGTTTGAACCATAGAACCCAACGTTGTAATTAAATCCACACTCTTGAGTCTTTAAATTCTTACAGGTGGATAGATGTGACACCTGAAGAGCATTTCTTTCGGCGCCACAGACACCCTGAAGCTCCGTGTTGTTTCTGTTGGAGGACGTTAACTGAATAACAAAACGCCTCCGAGTCCCTCGTGAATCGTTGTCAGCAGGAATCTGAGTCGGAGGTCCCCGTGAGTCCACTTCAACGGGCAGCACCGAGACTCCACGGGCTCTTGGAGCATCACAAACAAGACAGCACCTGAAACCGACACACTTCCTCTAAAATTAGCCACCTGAGCATCAACCCACTTTGTTTCTGACCCACTTTTACCTCACAGACAGAACCCTTGCTTTGTTCTTCAAGGTTACAAACCGTTTTCTGGTCTGAGATTACTTCAAAGTTTATCATTCGGAACTTTTCAGAAAACCCGTCTGCTTTCAGTCCACTCGGGTGTCGGACCAATATAGGTTGAAATTGTCCTTTTTGTTTTGCGTAAGCAGTTTAAACGGTAAATAACCTCAATAATTGTGAAAAATGTTTAAACTCTGTCGGTCCAGTTGGCTCCAGTTCTCCTCAGGTTCTGCTCCTCTTGGACCATAACTCAGCTGCCGGACTCTTGAAGGAACAAATAAGGTTTTATGTCATCATTTGGTAATTCTTGCTGTTCTTCCCGCTCTGTTTTAATGTTTTATTGATCATCCAGCCACACAAACTAAACTTTTCTTTTGAATATACTTTAATTCTGTTTGTGATGTCTAATTTCACAATAATAATATAAACAATAAAGATGTTTGGAGGACAAGTTGTTTATCAATTTCTGCCAAAGCAAAAGGGAAGAAAAAAGGAAGGAATGGACAAAAACTAAGAAATGAAGAAGGAAAAGAAGGAATTTGGAAAGATGAGAATGAAAAGACAATATAAAAATTAAAAGGAAGAAAAGAAAAGCATAAAAGATATTAATTTCTAAATTTAAACTCTTTTTGCCAGCTTTTTTTTAATCATCACTGGTGTCTTCTTTCTAAATGTCAAGCCAATATAAAAAAAAAAAAAAAACACCATATCCCATGAGGCTTTGCCCCAGAAGTGGAGTTAACGTTTCCTGCGGAACAAACAAAACTCGTTGACACTTAGCCACATCTTTGAAGTGATTCTCAGATGATTTTCGACATTTACCAATTTTAAACAACCTGACAAAAGCGCGATTAAACACAGAATTATTATGTTTTCAGATTATTAATCACTTAATGTAAAAAAGCCGACGTGAGTAAATAGATCGTTGTATACTTGAAATCAGCAAAGCTTGTCAAAAAAGTTATTTTTTCCGATTCCCTACTGGGTACCTGAAAGCGCCACAGGTGTGAGCACGTGCGCTAAATAGCGCGGTCTGCACGCGCAGTCCGTGTGAGCTGCGGGTTCAGGTTTAAGTTTCCCGCTCGGAGGCAGAGCTTGTTTTTATTGATGACACGAGCCTGCTATGATGCCACGACTCGCGGGCTTCCACGGCACCTGTGGCCCCTCAAGCTGGAAGGGAATTTCTCGTCGAAAGTTAACATTTACGCCACCTGGTCCAAAGTCTGGGTCCACGGAAAAGCCACCTTGTTGCTCCAGAACGGCGGGTTGGGCCGCTGTCGGGTCCGGAACCGTAGAAAAGCCCAGCCCAGAGGCCACGGTGAGTCCGTGTCCGTTAGCCGGCTCATGCTAGCTGCACCAAACTCCATTCATATTTCCGCTGATTTAAGGCTCGTGTCTGCTACAAAAGTCTTCTTGTTTTCTGTCGGACGGAGATTATTTACCGTCTCTCTCCGGAGCCTCCTCTCCGGCGCGGTGTTCGAGTGAACGGCCTGCTGGGTCTAATGAGAGTTGATCCGGAGTGAGTAAAACATGACGGGAGTGATGAAGTGTCGGGGCGGAGGCGGGATGCTGAGCGACCCTCCGGGGCTAATCCTAGAAGAGTGTGGGCAGGTAAAGCAGGATTTCACCGCTTTATTCTGAATTATTTTACACGGACCCTTCGTTAATGAGCTGTGGGCACAGCCCTCCGTGTGTCTGAGGTCGAAGCTGGTGGTTTATTTTTATTAGCGCTAACTTCTGCCTGTTTTTGTGCTTGGTTAGCTTTACATTTAAAACGTCCAGATCAGTTGGCTGCATGACTTCATTTGGTTTTTATTTATTTTTATATGTTTCAAAGTAATAAACTTTACAAATATTTACCCCATAAAATGACAAGTTACCCTTTAAAGCTGCATCAGCTACTGGCTGTTTCTCTTTTTGTTAATTAGCTTTTAGGTGAACTTTTAATACTTTCAGTTACTGTTCTGCCAGTTTTGCCTCTTGCTACCTTTTTAGCTTTTGTTGTTTAGATAGTTTTGGTTACTTTTATCTTTTTAGCTTCTGCTTCTATTAGCTTAAACTCATGTTTTTGTTTCAGCACATTTCAGCCAAGTCCTTCAGCTGCGGTTCCACAGATAATTCACATTTTTTACAATCTGCTTTAGCAAACTTGACTGTTTTTGTCTTTTTCTGCAACTTTCAGCTTTGCTATTTTTAGTTTAAGATGTTGTTGTCTTTAGCTAGCCTTGTTTTTGTGTTTGTCTTGCAGACAACCTTATGCAGATGTTTAGCTAACATTTTGCTACCAATTATTTTTAGTTGACCCATTAAGCATTATCCACTGGGAACAAATTATTCAATTGCTATTTTTTTACTTTTAGCTATCATTTAACTTTTAGCTAACCTTTAGCTGCATTTGTTTAGCCTTCTTCTATCTTTTTAGCTAATCGTTACCAGCTATTGTCTAGCCTTTTCTTGCTTTTAGCTAACATTTAGCAGCTTTTGTCTAGCCTTTTGCTACCTTTTCGCAAACCTTTAGCAACTTTTGCCTAGCCTGTTACTATCTTTTAGCAGCTTTTGTTATGCCTTTTGCTACATTTTAGCTTGGTTTTAGCTGTTTTTGTCTAGCCTGTTGCTACATTTTAGCTAACCTTTAGTAGCTTTTGCCTAGCCTGTTGCTATTTTAGCTAACTTTTAGCAGCTTTTGTCTAGCCTGTTGCTACCTTTTTAGCTAGTTTTTAGAATTTTTGCCTAGCTTGTTGCTACATTTTAGCTAACCTTTAGTAGCTTTTGTCTAGCCTGTTGCTACCTTTTCACAAACCTTTAGCAGGTTTTGTTAAGCCTTTTGATACATTTTAGCTCAGCTTTAGCAGCTTTTGCCTAGCCTGTTGCTACCTTTTTAGCTAACGTTTAGCAGCTTTTGTTTTGCTTTTTGCTACTTTTTAGCTAACCTTTAGCAGCTTTTTGTCTAGCCATTTGCTACATTTTAACTTGGTTTTAGCTGTTTTTGCCTAGCCTGTTGCTACATTTTAACTTGGTTTTAGCTGTTTTTGTCTAGCCTGTTGCTACATTTTAGGTGTTGTGCTGAATGTGTGCTCAGCCACGGCGCTCAGTCTGGTTTAGTGTCCGTCTGTCTGATTTGCTGTTTCTGCTTCTTTAGTTCTTGGATTTAAACGATATTGTCAGCAGACGTTTGGCGTGGTAGTAGCTGAGAGTCCTTCAGAACTTGTCCTCTGAGCTCCAGCAGGTCGTCGTCATGCAAGGACCGATGAAGGCGATCTGTGTGGGTTCTCATGTTAAAACGAGCACCAGGCAGGACAAGTTCGGCCTTTATTCCCTGCAGGTTCTGATGTTGGTACCGTTTACAAACCCACTCCTCTCTGCAGTCCGATACATGAAATACAAATAATTCAGGGTTTGTTGAACAGCTTGTGTTCATACAAGTGTTTTCAGTCTGAGCTGAAGAAAAGGAACGTCTTGGTTCTGTCAGAGGTTCTGAGTATTTGATTCTGAATCTGTGGACTCGGAGCTGATCCAGGTTTTTATTTTATTTTTAGATTTTTCTCTCCAGCAGTCATGAAGTTGCTTCATGTTCTGGTCGGGCTTCATTTCCCTGAGATGATACAGTTTCTGTCGAGCAGAACCTCGACTGATTGTGATCGAACACCCCCCGCTCCTGTTTCAGCCCTCTGCAGAATATCAACAGTACTGTCGGGCCGGTTCGCTCACATGAAATCCTTAGATTGCGCAGCACACGGGGTTCTGATTTTTAGATGCTTTACAGTCGTGTTTTTTTCTGAGTGCAGGTCAGAGACTCTGGACTCTGATCGACCTTCGCAGACCAACGTTGATCAGGACGATGTAAAGTTCTGCTGCTGGTACAGCCGGAGAGGCGAGACAGAGAGCTCAGCTCGGGCGGGGCTCCGGTTCAGGTGTAGAAACATTAAAATGGTCTAAATGAAACAGCTGAAAGTTTGAGAATAAATAAATAAATAAATTTGTTTCTCAGTTCTGTCTCAGCCCTCCGTCCTCTTCTCATGTTTTGCGGTTCGATGCGTTTCACTCGACACATTTAGTAAATCTCCTAGATTAGATTAGGGCTTCCTGGGGGGATTTAGGATTTCTGCCCGGCTCACACGTGTTGCATGGTCCTTTGTGTCCCTGCACGGCCGGTCTCTCTGCCGCGAGAAGCCCGAGGAGTCGGATCTCCTGATGCGTCGCAGCAGAGGGAAGAACGGAGGGCAGAAATTGATGCATTGCTGCAACTTTTGAGTCGTAATTGACGTTGCCCTGAGTTCTGCTGGAGCCGAAGCGTTGAAAGATTATTGACCAACTGTTGATCCAGAGTCTGTGAGGATCTGGTTCTTGCTCTGAGCTTCTGTGTCCTTTTGATCCAATGTAGAAGCTGCAGAATTTCATGTTTTTCTGTATTTTTTTTATTTTTGTCAAACGACTCCTGTAATTCCAGATTTCTGTGACGAGACTTTAGCGTTTCGGCAGCAGAAATAAAACTCTTCAATAAAATGAGCACATCTAAGAGAACTAGCCTGGGTCCATTTGGCCCGGTCTCTTCAGCCCTGAAGTGTTCTGACAAGCCCGGCCCGCCGGCTAAAGGGGCCTTTTCCCTGCCGGAGGACAAGAGCAAAGACGGGGCCCGGTGTGAGAACCGGGAGCAGGGCTCCCTGGGCCGCGTGGTGGAGGACTTCTTCTGGATCGGCAGCTGCATCATGGCGTTCTCCAAGTGGCGCCTCGGCTACATGGGTAAGCTCCGAAGTTCTGAATGGTTGGCGCGAGATCACCCGGTCGGCCCGGTTTGTAGGACCGCTCAGAGCTCAGTCAGTATGTTGGGTGATTTGGTCCACGGTAGGGGTGCGCCGATAAATCTGCCGGCTGATTTATCAGCCCCGATGTTCTTAATTTTGGGAGATCGGAGGTCGGCTGATACTTTCATGAGACACCAGTTTTACAGATTTTTTTTTAATTTAATTTTTTTATTTTTAACAACAATTGTCTAAACTTCATTTATATTTCAGAGCACTACCTCATGGGCAGTTAAAACGAGTTTGTATTGATTCTAGGATATTGTTCAAGGGTGTGTTTATTAATAAAATTGGAAAATTGAAGGTGCATTGTGACCTTATAACACCTGACGGTGTCACTTATAAAACTAAATCGGAATTGGCAGCTCAGACTTTTAGAGATCGTGATCGGCCAGAAAACTGCAATCGGTGCACCCCTAGTCCACAGATGATTCCACTGGAATATATCGGTAGTCCCTCTTTGTGTTCAACAGTCAGGCTTCGGGTCCCTTTCATTAAACTGTTCGGCAAAATGGTTTCAGACATGAAGTGGGAATCGTGGAACCACAAGAGGTGTGGAGCACAACTCAGCTGTGTTGACGTGGAGCACTGTGACGTCAGCACCAACTACTCCGTCTTTTAAAACTAAAGCAAAGTTGCTGTGTCTTCATCGACCTTCCCTCTGTATGTTGTCACAGACCAGCTGACTAACCCATTCACACGTCGACCGTTTTACCTCTGCTACCTCGCTTGGCGGCACATCGGGTGGGCTGGCATCGAACCCCTTCGTCTCCTTGGACCAAGCAGAACACACGACACTGAGGCCAGAACACATTTGAAATCCTGGTCTGAGGTGTTGAGTCAGCCTGGTGTCAGAATATTATGAGTTATAATTAAAGGTTCCAGTGGAGTGAACACTTGAAGACGTCGAGTCCTCGGGCGTAACTCGTTTTTGCATCGTTACTTTCTTTTATTACAGTTTAGTTTGGCAGTTCTACGGGGTTTAAATATCCTGATTCTGCTCAGTAATCCAGGTAGAAAAATTTAACCAAGTCAGGTCCTCTGGACAGATTAAAAAAACGTAAAAGAACTGTTCACATGATAAATGACCATCAGCCTAACGAGGTGTCCTCCAACGGTCCTCCTCTTACAGTGCTGTTATTGATAGCATCACTCAGCCCTCTGTGAATAGCAAGCAGCCATCGGGGCACTATCGATGGGTTGTTAGGCTGATGGTCCTCCTCGATCATGTGAACATCTAGTTCTGGATGTCAACAACAAACTGGTTGATCCACTATGAGAAGGTGCTATTTATAAGACTGAGTTTGTTGCAGCTCCTCAGACTGAAGAAGTCCTTCGGATAAAAGGCAAAACGTTTCAACAAGTTTTTAATTATTTATTTATTGTTTTGAATCCGTCCAGAGGACCTGACTTTTGTTAGATGGGGGGGTTCAAAGTTCCACCAGAAGCAGGAAAATCTGTTAAGAGCTCCTGATTTTGGTAACAAATGTTTGGCATCATGTTGTTGATGGAGTAGAATGAGGAATGTTTTTCCCAGCAGCCGTGTCAGTCCTCGTTACGTTTGCCCCTAAATTGGCCATCTGTCCCACGGAGTCAGCTGCATGTGAATGCAACATATGGCCCCGAGGCAATCCTCCCCCGGGCTTAACCTGGTTCCCCGACAGGAGGAGAGCAGCTAATTCCACCTCCTTGGCATGCAGCGTGTCGGTCCCAGCAGGTCAGCGAGCGCACGTCAGCGAGCCATTAGCTCCTCGGCCTCAGCTGTGCGCTTACAGAGCGCCGTTTCCTCTTCCTCCTCTTCCTCCTCCACCTGCGCGCTGTGGTTAACCTAGTTAACAAACCGCTGCTCCACAAAGGAGCTGCTTCTGCATCAGCTGCCTTAAAGACGTTAATTGACGTGTTTGGAGACAAGACTCAACTCTCACAGGCTGAGGAGGAAACCAAGTTTCTATTGGTCCCTAAAAGTAAAACCAGTTTAATAAACCTGTATCTTGATTCCAGTTTATTTGCTTTAAGACCTGTCAGGAAAGCTGTGGATTTGTAGAACTGACGTGGGGCGGCTCCTCGTTCATCAAGCCCCGCAGCCTCAGTTGGAGCTCGTTTTCATTCAGTTGTACGTCCAGCACTTCTCCACATCCACCCGCTCCTGAATCTGATGTTGTAACCATGACAACAAGCCCAGATCCCCGCCGGTAATGGCTTTCTGCGGCGCTGGCGCTCCTCTCCGCTCTCTCCACCTCGACGAGCTGCTGAACACGTGCTGCTCGGTTCTGTTTGACCCACATTGATTAAAGCGTTAGAGGTTCTGATTGTCTAAAATACATTTTTAACTTTTCATTTTGTTCTCCAATGGAAATATTTCTAAAAACAATAACATTGTCAGAGTTTACCTTTTTCAACTGGCAAGTTTGATTTTTATGAATTAGAAGAGTGGATGGCTGTTTGTCTCTGTGTGTCCCTGTGATGGACTGGAGACCTGTCCAGGTGTCCCCCGCCTCTCACACAGTCATGGCTGGATATTGGCACCAGTGACCCCTGCAGCCTGAAAAGGAAGAAGCGGGTAAAGATAATGGATGGACGCAGTTTTTCTCCTACCATTATGCAAGCAGGGTGCCCCGCCCTGTCAACAGAACCAATCGCCCTGCCTACCGAACAGAACTACAACCCCCACCCACCCCCCACCATTCGTTGGCAACTTCCTGCCCTGACGTAGCGGCATGTAATACAGACTTTCTAGCTAAAAAGCTGTGACTATGGAGGTAGCGCTCTGTTTCTCTCACGCTGAGCCGTACGGAAACGGAAGATATGAACGCCCTGCCACGGGCAAGTAAACTAGGGGAAACTCTGGATGGATGTTTGAACCCTGCCCTCAGGTTGCACGATGAGTCCACGGACATGTCTGTGGTGTAGATGTCGGTAGTTTGATCTTCAGTTCTTGTAGAAGATATGTCGTTGACAAGATTTAGGGATGTGAACGTTGTCAAAGAGAAGGCAGCGGCTCCTTGTGCACTCCTGAAGGTGGAGGACTGAAATGGGTGAACCTGGAATCTTCGTCCGTCTGCCAGCTTTAAATCACAGAAGTGGGTCAAAAGCAGATTTTTAGATGTTGCTGCTCTTGAGACCTGATGGATTAGTGCAGTGCTAATCCCGCAGGTGTCATGTTGGCACTCGGTTGTTTCCCTGAACTCGTCGAGGCGGGGCCCCGTGTCTTGATATGGTGTCACAACGCTGATGAACCTCGATAACCTCACGAAGGTGGTTTGAGGACAGATCGTGCTCATCACAGGTAGTGGACACCACTGCCTCACTAGGCAAAGAGGATTCAGAATGTCTTGGGATTCTTGATATCCTCATGGGTTGCAGAGGTGGGCAGAGCCATCGTTTATGGTTTATGTTGAAGTTGGGGAACAGCTTTCCTCTCAACAGAGTTGTCATGGGCCCTAAAGCTCTGACACCTGAACAGAAGCTCCCTGACAAAAAAAGCATCTGAGCTAATGTCCAGGTATGAATATACGCTGGATAAGGCTGCATGATGTTAGAAGAACTTTCAGTGTACAATCTTGAGGCTTAATCTCCACTTTTTCAATCCATCCCTCCTTCCTCTTGGTCTGGACTCAGGTCTCTGGTGCAGCAGTTTGATCAGTGAGGTCCAGATATCTCTCTTTAACCACCTCTTCCAGCTTATTTGAAAGGTCTTCAACATGTTCCCTGGCCAGCTGAAAGTCTCCAGTGTGTCCTGAGTCTTCCCTGGAGTCTCCTCCATATTGGACATGCCCAGAACACCTCCCTTGGGAGGTGTCCAGGGTCCACCTTTACCAGATGTCTGAAGCACCTCAGCTGTGTCTCTTCTGGATTTGGAGGAGCATTGACTCTACTGAGTCTCTCCTAGAGAAGTGAACGTCTCACCCGATCTTTGAGGAGAGTCCAGCTACCTTGCAGATAAAATTCATCTAGACGTCCTGGATCCATGATCTGGTTCTTTCAGTCTCTACCCAGAGTTCCTGACCCTAGTTGAGCGTAGGAACGAAGACCGACCAGTTAACGGAGAGCTGCTCCTTGCAGCTCAGCGCTGTCTTAACCACAATGGACCGGCACAAAGTACACAATACTGTAAAAGCTGCACCAATCAATCTGTTGATCTCACGCTCCATTCTTATCATTTCCTGAGATACTCGTGCTCCTTCACCTGAGAGGACCTCCACCCTTTTATTCCCCACAATCTGTCCACTTCATTAAAATGTCCTAAAGGTTGGTCTTCACCATGTGACTGTGGTGAGATCTGGATCCATGCAGAGGACGAGTCCTTTAGGTTCTGATCCGATGTTCTCGTTGCAGCAGGTTGTTTCAGGGGTTAATGTCCCCTCAGTTCAGACCTGTAGCTCAGACATTAACTTTGGTTTGAATCAATAAAACGTCGTTCTACAGCCACGTTGCATTTATCCTGCGTGAGTCTACACTGTAAAATCATTAAGTTCATGGATCCCATCTCCTTTTTTTCTTTCTCCTCATTGAAAACCAATTACTAAAACAAATAGTTTGTTCAGGTCCAATTTCAATGTTCTGACTGATGAAGTGTTTGGATGTTTTAAACCAGACCTGGTTTGAAAACTAATCATCAACCACCTTTCATGAACACCCTCAGCACTGAGTACAAGTTTTAATCCACACCTCGTTTCCCAGGATCCGGACTTTCTTTTAGTCGTCAGTCTTTTATATTTTTCCAGGAAGGAAACGAACACGAGGAGCAGGGCGACATTTAACGTGGCTGATGCTGTTTCAGCTAATTGAAGGAGTTATTGGGTTCACCAGAATATGATTTGTACTGTTTTTAAAAACTATAATCATCGTTGTTTTTACAAGATTGATGCAGATTGCATTCAAAACAGTTTGTTCTCCTAAATTATAGACCAGGAGTGACCAAACGTTTTCATGTGTGCCAAA